GGAAAGGTGTCTGGTGGAGGGGGAGTCAGCAAGGCCGCCTGGCAGGGGGTCTTCATGAGGAATTTGAGGTGTGAATTGGTCATTAGCATATCTTGTTTCCAAGGGTAGGAGAGGTCTGAGTGTGAATGGTCATTAACATATCTTTTGTTTCCAAGGGTGGGAGAGGTCTGAGGTGTGAATTGGTCATCAATGTGTATCTTTTGTTTCCAAGGGTGGGAGAGGTCTGAGGTGTGAATGGTCATTAACATATCTGTTGTTTCCAAGGGTGGGAGAGGTCTGAGGTGTGAATTGGTCATTACAATGTGTGACAAGCTTGGTAGGAACATCCTGTGTTCAGTGTTTTGTCCATCTGTGTACCTTGAAAACGCTTTGCATGCATTTTTCATGATGAAAAAAGGCTCTGGACAGCATCGGGAACTGGAAGAGTTAAAAACAAATTTCAGACGCAAACGCTTATAACCGCGATTTGCCATGTTTAGCCGCGTTTACAAGCATTTTGCACTTGAAACACTGATAAAACTGAGCGTTTTCTGCGTTAAAAAAAACAACTGTAAACTCAAATGCCTGTAAAGGACGATGTGTACATGGATACATAGGAGAACATTAGGGAGAGTTCAGGGGCTGCTGAAAAAAAAAAACACAGAAAAGCTCCTAAACATCAGTTTATCAGCTGCAGTGTACATGAGCCCTAAGAGTGAAGGAGGTAAAATTCTGACTTTGTAGCTGAAGATTAGAAATCTAAGCTCAACATTTTTCTCTGAGCACAAATTCAAACTGAACTTTGGATGTTTGCAGGCCGCACTTTCTACCCTTTCACCAGAAGTCAGACATCATATGAAATAGAGGTATTTCTAGCACTACTATCTTTGATGGCTTTCTCTCAATAGCTGCTAATGAAGCAGCCAGAGCTGGAACCAGCTATGTCCTTAGCAACCAGTGACCTCACCCAGCCCTATTCATTTACTGGCTGGGAATCCTCGGCCATGTAAACAAAGGGGTGGGGATAGCTCAGAGATCATTGTCCAAATCTGGTCACATGGTCATATATGGGCAATGGCATCACATTGGATTATGGTGGGCCTAAAAGATGTCATTTGGTTCAGTTATTTACTTCAAGTCATTGGGATTGGTCACATCCATCGGTCAGCTGGATTTTTTTCCTTTGGTGGGCATTGAGTATCGTTCACCATGAGTGATGTAAATCTACATTGGTGGATGACATGCTTGAGGATGGATGTACATCGTGAGACATTTTTTTTTTATAATAACGTTCTTGGCAATACATGTGTCTATTTAGACTTTTTTCTGGATGAGGCATTATGAAACCCTTATCCATTTACATGGGGGGGGGGGCAGTATCTTGGGGCCCCCTTATTGTGAAAGAGGGCATCCAGGTTCTGATAAGCCCCCTTCACCCACAGGCCCCCACTAACACTAGACCAGGGATGTAGGGGAGAGGCATTGTCCTCATCAACATAGGGACAAGATGCTTTGGCAGGGATGTCCTCCCTGGCAAAGTACTTCCCCCATGCTGGAAACATATGGCCTGGTATGCTTCAGGAGGGAAGAGGGCGCATGCTCGCCCCCCTCTTTCCTGGCCTGCCAGGCTGCATGCTCAGATAAGGGTCTGCTATGGCTTTTTGAGGGAGACCCCACACATTTTTTTACCGTGATTTTTTTTCATGAGGTTCCCCTTAAAATCCATACCAGACCTGAAGGGTCTGATTTCGGCTGAACGGAGAAAATGGGAATATAATGCTGATAACACTGTTCAACAGGTAAAAAGTTTTGGGCATAAAATTAGCTAATCTTACATAATTTTGGTGTGCTGAAAACGAAAATGACCCTAAAAAAATGTTGATTGGCTCTAGTTTCCATGATATATTCACCCATCTAATGACGTAAGCCATTCAAAATTATGATGCAACTTCAGCTGCATATTGCGCAATTGATACTGGTGACCAATAGAAAATTGCATGTATACTGAGATGATGCAATATTAGCCTTTAATTGCATCACTTCACTGCATAAAAGCTGCAGTATCTGTAGCTGATTGTAGTTGGACAGCGTCTTTACATTTCGTTTTATGCTTATATAGGCTACTCAGTAATGCCTCGAACTTGTGTGAATAAAGCAGATAATTTCTGCTATATCTGCGGTGAAATAACTTTTATCTCACAAAAAAGGAGGATAACAGGAATGATTAAGAAAGCCTACAACTTGTATTTTGGCTGCAAGATAGGAGACCAGGACAAGAGCTGGGCACCACATATATGCTGCAATTCTTGTGGGATGGCACTGGAGCAATGGTTGAATGGAAAAAAGGCATCTATGCCTTTCGCTGTGCCGATGATTTGGAGAGAGCCAACAGATCATGTTAGTAATTGTTACTTTTGTATGGTGCCTCCAATTGTAAAAGGGCGAAATAAGAAGAAAAAGTTATCTGTGCACTATCCAAATATTCCATCGGCAATACGTCCAGTTCCTCATGGAGAGGGGC